TTTTTTTTTTTTTTTTTTTTTTTGCTCATCACAGTCTCCAACTCCTGGGCTCAGAAGATCCTTCTGCCTCAGCCTTCTGAGTACCTGAGACTACACACGTGAACCACCATACTTGGCTAATTTTTTGTATTTTTTGGTAGAGATGAGGTCTTGCTATGCTGCGTAGGCTGGTCTTGAACTCCTGGGCTCAGGCGATCCTCTCGCCTTGACCCCCCTTGGCTGGGATTATCAGGGTGAGCCATCGCACCAGGCATGTCTGCTCTCTCTTGAGCACTTCCTAAGCACTGGGACTGATCTAAACGGCATAGTGTGTCCTGTTGGAGCCTAATCATCGCCCCTGTACAGCTATGAGGCACTCAGGCCCCAAGGTTGGGAAAGGGAGGCAATTAAGTCAAAGCCCAGGTCTGTGGCCTTAGAGTCCCCCGGCTACCTTCGGCTTCACACGGCCCCAGAAGGCAGCCGCGGGTTTACACGAGATGACGCAGGGCAGGTTCCAGTCTGGTGTCCAGGGTGCGATGACCTCCAAAAGGTTGGTGTCTCGGGTGCTTTAGCTTGCATTTATCATGCTGTGCACTACAGGCCTGTTGGTGCCGTTTAACCCCTCATTAGCAAGTGGGGGCTGAGTCTTGTTTTCCTTTGGGTCCCCACTCCTGATGCACACTCAGTGAGGGCTGCCTGAATGAGTAAGTGAATAGCCACACACACACACACACACACACACACACACACACCTCACCAGCTTGATTAGAACTTCCAGGCCAAGTGTAGGGGCTCACACCTATAATCCCAGCCCTTCGGGAGGCCAAGGCAGGAGGATCACTTGAGATCAGAAGTTTGAGACCAGCCTGGGTAACACAGTGAGACCCCATCTCTCCAAAAAAAAAAAAAATGAGATGGGTGTGGTGGCATGTACCTGCAGTCCCAGCTACTCAGGAGGCTGAGGTGGGAGGACGGCTTGAGCCCAGGAGGGTGAGGCTGCAGTGAGCCACAATCGCGACACTCCAGCCTGGGCAACAGAGAGAGACCCTGCCTCTAAAAAATAAAAAACCGAACAAAAGAGAACGTCTCAGCGCATGGCTGGCCACCGTCTCTCCCCCACCCCTCGTCTGTGCTACTGACCTCTCGCTCGAGCAGGCCGAAGCCCCGGACCCCCACTCACCATGAGGCAGGGTGATGCTGGCCCCATCCAGGATGGCCTGGGCCAGCTCGTGGTCGTTGGCCTCGGCAGCATAGGCGGCAGCCTTGAGGGCGTCCCAGATCTCCTTGCGACCCTCAAAGGCGGGCGCCGTGTCCCAGAACTCATCCCGCTTGCTCCGCAGCTGCCCGTCGGTCATGGGGTAATCGCTTTTCCACTTGAGCCGCTCCTTCTTCAGGGGCTCGTTGCGACCTGGCAGGACACAGGAGAGGCTTGGCATCCCCCCGGCCTGCACCTGGCCTCGGCCGGGGCACCCCACCCTGCACACCGCTCCTGAGTGTGTGGGTCCCTGCCGCCTTCCTCAATAGCGAGGGCCAGTCAGGAACCCTGGGGCCACAAAACAGTTTTGTCAGCAAAGCGCCTGCTGCCTTTGTTTCTGTGGCTAAGTTTTCATTCTACTCTTCCTTTGATGATAAGGCGGTACATGCTCAATAGTTTTAAAAGAACAGCGATGCGTAAAAATAATAACTGCCACCATTCCGGAGCTGACCTGGGCCAGATCACAGGCCGGGCTGCTGGAACTCTTCATCTGATCCTCAAAACAACCTTGCGGATGGGAAATGAGACCCAGGGAGTCTGTCATTTGTCTAAGGACACACAGGTTCCAACTTAGCACGGGACTTTCTGACTCTGAAGCCCACGCTCTGGCTACTGTACCATCAGGGAAGAAAAATCACCCAGCACTCTACCGTTCAGAAGTACCCACTGCCAACACCCAGGCCCATCTCTGACCAGCTTCTTTCTCCTCAATATAATTGAGTTTATATTATGAAATTTATTTATTTATACTCCTTGTTTCAGAAAGGGCTTAAGATACCCTCATACCAATATATAACTTTCTGTTTATTTCACTTTCTATTACTGTCAATTTTCCATATGATTAAAAATTATAAACAGCCTGAGCCCGTGGGTTCGAGACCCGCCTGGGCAGCGAGACCTCATCTCTACAATAAAAAATCAGCCGGGCGTGGTAGCGCATGCCTGTAATTGCGGCTACTTGGAAGGCTGAGGTGGAAGGATCGCCGGAGCCCAGCAGGTCGAGGCGGTGGTGGCCGCTTCCACTCCAGTCTGGGCGACAGAGTGAGACTCCAACTCAAAAAAAAAAAAAAAATTATAAACAAATTTTCGCGTGTTGTTACTAATGTCCCACCAAATAGATAGTCACTTTTTTTTTTGAGTGGGAGTCTCACTCTGTCACCCAGGCTGGAGTGCCGTGGCACACCCACGGCCACCCCAGCATCGACCTGCTGGGCTCCAGCAATCCTTCCACCTCAGCCTTCCAAGTAGCTCGAACTAAAAGGGTATGCCACCACGCCCGGTTAATTTTATTATTGACTATAGAAATGAGATCTCGCCATGTTGCCCAGGCTGATCTCGAACCCCTTAGCACAGGCAATCCTCTCACCTCTGCCTCACCTCTGCCTCCCAAATACTAGGATTACAGGGGTGAGCCACCACACTCACAAATTTTTTTTTTATCATAGCTCACCAGTCAGCCAAAACATTCCTGCAGTCTCTGAAAGAGAAAACAATTCTGTCTAATGTCCTTTTTCTAATTCCCCAGCCTCAGGTGACCCAAGCCAACTCCAGACCATGGTCAAGACGGAGCAGAGGTACCTTCCAAAGGCTCTTGGCGGGTCACAGCTCAAGGCTGGTCCTAGAGTGAGTGGAACTAAGGCTGGCATCGCCACCAGGCTGCCCTAGGGGGTGGGGGGAGCAGCACTGACCACCCACTTGAAAAGACCCCCAGGCAAGCCTCATCTGTAGAGACTCTCCCAGTCATCCCAGTAACACTTGGGGTGAGCATTATTGTTGTCATTTCAAAGGTGATAGGACAGATTTAGAGAGATTATTACTGTGTGCCAGGTCACACGGTAACAGAGTGAGGGGTCCACTTCAGGTCTCACTAAACCCTGTGGCTTGCTATGTCAATCTGCAGCTACCTGTGTGGGCAGAAAACTCTAGAGCCAAACATGTAAAGGGTCCCTGGGGTGGTGGAAGGAAATGCAAAGCCTCTTTGGGGGGAAACAGCTTCAAACCGGACCACACGGAATTCCCAAGACAGAGTTCCAAGGAAAATAAGTAATAAAGTCATAGTCCAAAAAAAAGCACAACATGCAAAGAAACAAGGCCACATGAGCCAAAACCAGCAAAAATGGCAGGCAGGGGAATTGTTTATAAAGACTGGATAAAGGATATATCTGACACCTGATGAAATACCAACTTTATGAGCTAAGAGAGCCACTAAAAAAGAAATAATAATAACTAAGAGAGCCTTAAAGTTATGAATAAGGAACAAGAGATTATTAAGAATCATCAAGCAGACTTTATTTTATTTATGGAGAGACAGGGTTTCACTATATTTCCCAGTCCGGTCTTGAACTCCTGGCCTCAAGCGATCCTCCTACCTCAGCCTCCCAAAGCACTGGGGTTATAAGCATGAGCCACCCCATTCAGTCAAAGATTTTTTTTTTTTGAGTTGGAGTCTTACTCTGTCACCCAGACTGGAATGCAGTGGCCGGCCGTTCCCGGCCACCGCAGCCTCGACCTGCTGGGCTCCGATGATCCTTCCACCTCAGCCTTCCAAGTAGCCGGAATTATAGGCACGTGCTACCACGCCTGGCTGATTTTTTGATTTGTTGTAGAGATGAG